TCCATAATGCGGGCCTCATGATTAACGCGAAAAAAATCTCATCTTCGTCCAACCCAACAGCTGCGGTTCTTGGGCTTGGAGCTCGACACCAAGCTTGGCCAATTTTCGGTTGGCACTGAACGATGCGACATGCTGCACTCCACCATCTGCTCGCTCCTAGAAGCGGGGCTTAAGCAGCACACAGTTCCCGCCCGGCAAGTCACGTGTGTCACGGGCATGCTCGCTTCCATGACTCTCACTCTCGGTGCAACCGCTCGGGGTTTCAGCCATGCTTTACAGCAGACCATCAACGGCGCCTCATCATGGAACAGCAAAGTACTGCTATCGCCTACTACATGCGAAGAGCTGGATTTTTGGGCATCATAGTTTGACACCTTCAATGGCGCCCCCTTACACATGTGCGGCAGCTACGATGTGGTCATTCACGTCGACGCACGCGCCCACAGTTGGGGGGCCACCCTCGACACATTCTCGGGCAATCTACGCGAAGCCCACATGAACATGCCTATCGCCTTGCGATAGATGTCCAGCACCTGCAGGGAGATTGAAGGCGTACTCTGGGCACTACAAACATCCAGAGATCGGCTCTGGAACAAGCACATGCTCGTACGAGTTGACAACCAAGGTGTTTTCTTCATCTTGAAGAAGGGTGGCTTATGCAGTTCCAACCTCACCCTCGCGTGCAATTCCATCATCCATCCGCCTAATCCTAGAATGGATCCCACGTGAACTTAACACGCATGCCGACAAGCTGTCAAAGATGCTCGATCCTGATGATTACTGTTTGAAGTCTCCATGGTTCACCTCCTCCAACGACGCTGGGATCCTCACACTATTGACCTCTTTGCCAATGCTGACAATGCCAAGCTTAGCCATTTCTGCTCTGAACACCCACATCCCAAGGCCACATTTATCAACGCCTTCTCGATCTCATGGGCCTCTGAGAACGGTTTTGCGTTTCCTCCACCTCAAGCGATTCCTTCAGTCCTTCACCATGCCGAACGAACCGGAGCGTCATTCACTCTCATCGTTCCGCACTGGCTAGGTGCTAGTTGGTGGCCACTCCTCCAACCCCTCACCACCAGCATGGGCCACCCCCATCAAAGCTCACATCCCTCTCACATACGGCAGTCAATGCCTTAGGCCAAGCACACACACCAGCGCTTTTTCCGGCTCTGGCCTTCCTGACAGTCTCGTGTTCACACTGCAAGTGGCGTTCCACTAACATGCATCACTTTGTCCTTTCTCCAACCAGATCTCATTCCCACTCTACAACGTGAGTTGCTCACCGTCATGGTGCAGACACGCGCCGACTCAACAATCCGCTCCTTCTACACCAAGACCAAATTGTCGTTCCTCCCAGCATCAGACATGACACTCGCCTTATACTGCATCTAAAAAATCAGGCGAAAGGCTACTCTGTCAGTGATACAACAGTCAGCTTTGCTCATCGCATGATCAAGGCACCCAGTCCCAGTGCCGGTCCTTTCACATCACAAGTTCGTGAGTCGCAAAGTGGCAGTGTCCCCGGCCAAGGAGGACCAAGGAACCAGTATCTTAACACCAAGTGCATGCGATGGCTACCCACTTCATCAATGCTAACGATCCAACCACCTTTCAGAAAGGCCTCATCCCCTACGTATGTACACTGGATTTTTGCGCTATTCAGATTTGGTGGCCGTCAATTGGGAGGAAATCCAATTTGAAAACGACGCGATATGGCTGCTCATCCCCTTCTCCAAGACGGATCAAGCAGATCAAGGGTCATGGGTCATGATAGCGGTGGTCCCAGGGCCCTTCTGCCCTGTTCGCTGCACTCAACGTTTCATCGGCTTGGCGGGGTATGGGCCCAACTCCCCTGGGCCTCTCATTTGAGTATTCGGTGTGGCCCCGAGGAGGATACCTACAAGCAAGCCGCCGTCATACACCACCATACGCAATTGGTGCAAGGAGGCCTTTCACACGATTGGCCTTGGTGAAACCTCCTCGAAACACACTCCTTCCGCAAGGGTGCAGCAACTGTTGCTGCCAATGGGGTTGTTGCGGACCGGCTCTTCAAGCGTCTCGGTCGATGGTGTAGCGACCGGGCGAAAGAGATGTACGTTACACCCACAGCCGACCACCTTGTCGTAGCTTCCCATGATGTGCAAATCCTAGCAAGGGCATTGTCACCTGCGCAACACTCTAAGGCCCTCGTGCGTCATCGGCGTCTGGCCCTGTCCATGTCTCAGTTTAGCCCAGTGAAATGAGAACGATGCCAATTGCACAACAAGAAAGCAAGCTTTCTCAATATGAAACATTTTCAAGCGTTTACACTTTTATAATTGTGTATTGTAAATGCGAAGCTGCTTGTACCGCAATGTTTGGCATCGTCAAAGTGTGCTATTCCCCTTCTCCAACTACAAAAGGGGGTTAGAGGTCATTCTTCCTCCACCCACGGTTTTCTTTTTTTCACAGCTCAAGTTCAAATCCCGCCCACCCAACCCATCGCATCTACTTTGCCCACACAGGCCCAACGCCATGCTCGACTCTGTGGATCGCCAGTAGTGCAGACCTAGCCTTCGTAGTGTAGTGATCTAGGTTTATGTACTGAGATATTGGGAAATCTTTGTACTTGATGCCCAGTGAAATGAGAACGATGCCAATTGCACAACAAGAAAGCAAGCTTTCTCAATAACGGATCAATGATGAGAACTTCCCTAAGAACTCCCCCTGGACATGCCCCACGGCGAACGTCTTCTACTCCGCGTCTATCATCTAGGGCTCATCAGGCCCGCGCGCATGTTCGGGCCTTCTGCCTTATACAACAGCCTCAACTTGTGGTTCCTTGCTGGGCCTCAGGTGCCCATCCCCTCCTGTTTTTTTCAGGCGGCTCAAGGACCATCAGTGCATTCTCTCCTATATGCACTCCGTCTCCCCACCCCCCCCCCCCCCCCCCCCCCCCCCCCCCTCCCACCATCCTCCACCCCAAAAAATTGATCAACGATAAAAATTTCCCTGAGAACTCCCCTTGGACGTGCCCACGACCAACATGTTCTACTCGACGCCTATCATCTGGGGGCTAATTGGCCCCAAACGCATGTTTGGCCCACATGCATTCTACAACCTCTGTTGGTGCAACCCTACGGCTTGCACACAGCTTGTCGTCCTTGTTCGTATGTGTGCATGCATGGCATGGAGTGACTTGTGAGTCTATGTCATTGCTATCTAGTGCTTGTGTGTGTACTTGAATGATGTCTCACAATGTGGTATGTGTCGGTCAAGACATTAGCGAGTTTTCACTACTCGCATGTCAAGTCGTCGTTTGCATGTCGCATGTGTTTTAACAGCTGAAGATTTCAAGCCCAACGGACGTGGATAAATATTAAAATAGTGAAAATAGTAATGCTACTTCGTGTAGTGTTACATTTCACTTGGTGTAGCCCCTTGCTGGGTTTGTTTCGAGTCTCCTCGTGGTTGGGAACTCTCTGGTGGTGTACCACCAACCTAGAACTTGGCTCTTGGGGTATGTAGAGGCTAGGAACCATCTCAATCTCGATTCTTCTTGCTAAGTTTGTACTTCTAAGGATATAGTGGCTGCCATACCTCCTGCCAGTCAAACCGCCATAGCGTCGTCAAAACTTCATGGAATTTCATGATTCAACTTGCTGCTGATAGACGTCAGCAAATCGCTCCAGATCCAATTTATAGATTACCGTTTGAGTTAGCGAGAAGATCGTTATCAATATTTGAATCTGTCACACGAAAATCCGACTGTGCTCTCTATCTCTCATTATAGGCACATTTGAGCCTATTATGATTATAACAGCCTCAACTAGTGGTTCCTAGGGGGTGCTCTGGCGCCCATCCCCTTCTGGACCTTGCACAAGCTCAAGCCATGGTAAACGGTGGGTTGGCTCGGGCGTGTGTGAGTTGATGCAAGCAGATTTTGAGGTGACTCTGATAGAAGGTGGGTTTACTGGGAGACAGTGGCTCCTGGGGGGGTGGGGGGGCTCTAGCTCCCATCTCCTTCTGGGCCTTGCATAAGCTCTGGCCGCAACAGACGGTGGGTTGGTTTGAAGTGATGTAAGATAGGGAGAAGGCGGGTTAACCCAGGTACACTATGAGTTAGTTCAGGCACATTGGTACCTTCAACTACCGTGAGGCCCAGGTTGCGTAAGTTATTGGATTGCAAAGTTACTGGAGACAGTACGGTAATGATATTTCACTCCGTAGGTACTCCCCGACCCAAGTGGCCAAGATTGGTCTTCATCTACCCGTCACCATCTCCCTCTCTTCGCGTGATTCCTGCCTTACTTTCACAAAGCATCTGTCCTTGACATGGCTGATCAATGTGCACATTCCAGCGATGCTAAGTGGTGTGGGGATGATGCCCCCTGCCATGCCCATCAATCAACCACATTGCATGCCTCACCTCTAACACCTCCTTGCTTGATGCCTGCCTCAACCACACCCATTTCTTTGTTGGAGTGGCTGACCAAGGTGCACATCCCAGTGATGCCCACTGCTGTGGGCATGATGCCCCTTGCCACGCCCATCTATTGTGTGATGTCATCGTATGCTATCACATTCTGTCTGCCTCTCATCCCTTGTTTCAATTCGCATGTATGGTTTGACTGTGTGTGAAAGAATTTATGTGGTGTGTTTTGGAGTTTGGGAATGTGTTCTGTGTTATTTTTGTTTGAGCAGGTATATGTGATGATAGATCTTGAGAATATCTTTCCGACGCAACAAGAATCCTTCAATCGGAGCAAGAACGCGAAAGCTATGAAGATTCAAAATTCATGAGCTTGCGTTACAATTGCGGCGGCTACAAAGTGAAGTTGTGGGGTGACTCTACATGGAGTTGGGACCTTTGGGGTTGGGGAGATTTGTCACTCTACTGTAACAGCTGCAAACTGGTTGGGAACTGCCAAGCTAGGTTGGCAAGGGTGGCCAACATGGTTGGATTGGTTGGGAAGGGACAAATGTCAAAGTTTGGGTTCTAATAGGGAGGGAATCTTTGTGCTTATAGGGTTTCCTAAGTGGTGTTCTAAAGGTTGGATGTATCTTCCGCTAAGGGGAAACTCTGCCGAAATTTCGTGGACGCCGACACTTGTGAAAATATCGAGGGAGCTGAGTGTGGACAGCAAAGGGGAGCTGAAATCGTCATTTCTCAAGGAGAAGATGAATGAGAGAGGAGGAGATGCTAATGGAAGAGGAGCTGTACTGAGAAGACAAGTGAGCGCCCATCAAAAGTTGAAGCTTTGGATGGCTCCAACTATGAGGAATGGAGCGGGCGGATGAGGAGTGTCTTCAAACGCTACAAGCTCCTGAAGATTGCTGTTGGGGAGGAGAAGATGCCGGAGGAAGGCGAAGCCCGTGAACGGTGGATTGAGAAAAACGCGGTGCTTTTCGACCTCATCCTTCAATCGGTCAACAAGGAGATGTTCGAGCACATCAAGGATCTTGTGGAAGCGGATGATTCGGGTCCAAGGGCGTGGAAACTACTACGCGATGCGATTCAGCCCAACACTCTCCCGATGGTGATCGTGCTCGAGAAAGAACTTGCTGCCATCTCCATGCGACCAGGGGACGATGTGAAGCCGGTCCTTGACAAGATCAAGGACACCTATGCAAGGATGGCAGCAGCAGGCAGCAGTGTATCTCACCTACAGCAGTGCACCAAGATCATCTCGGTGTTGGACAACTCTTGGGACAACCTCATCCCCACCCTCAACTCTCAGCAAGATCAATGGACACCTGAGTGGCTAAGGCAGCAGATTCTGCAGGAGGACTTCCGCAGACGCCATGTGGGAGGTGGTGCTTGCACTAAGACTGCTGAGGGGTATGGAGCTGCAGGGCGTGGCAAAGGAAGAGGGGGTTGGAGAGGCCGAGGCCGTGGGAGGAGCTTTGGCAGAGGTAGGGGCCGAGGTGACTACAATGAGGGGCATGGGAGGTCTAGTGGCAGGGGGAGTACCAGAATCGAGGGCACCTGCTGGTACTGCAAGAAGGTCGGGCATCCTTGGTTCAAGTGCTTCAGCAGGCCGGAGGGATGGGCACCTCTAGGCATGAAGCCGCCCAGTGGTGAACGCGCACAAGGTGGCGCTGTGCAAGGCTCAGGTACACAAGGTGAAGGTGCACAAGGTAATACCTATCCTGGGATTTTTCTCATGGTTGAGGATGTGCATGGGCATGAGGGTGATGTGGGATCTGTGGGAAAGGTTGTGATGCACCCTCTCACGCACTGGGTGATTGATTCAGGTTGCACCAGTCACATGACCCCACGGGCAGATTTGCTTGATGAGGTAAAACCCCCTGGGAAGATTAAGTATGTGGCAACAGCGTCAGGTGCTTTGCTCCCTGTCATTGGTGTTGGGAATGCCAAGGTTAAGGGAGCTAATGGGGAACTTGTGGGGCTTGGGAATGTTCTGCTGGTTGAAGGTCTGTCCGCTAACCTTCTCTCTGTGCGGCGGCTGCAGAAGAGTAAGGCCGAAGTGACCTTTGGACCAACCAGCTGTCGTGCTAAGCTTGGGAAGAAGGTGCTGTGGAGTCTGGAAGAGGAGACCAGCTGCATCAAGGACCTATGGCAGCTGCCCATCATCCCTTGGAATGGGAAGACTCCAACAGCAGCAACGGCAGCAGCGACAAAGGCAACAGCAGGAGGAGATGCAACTGCACCAACTGATGGGGTCCTGGAAGCAGTCAAACAGTGCAGCAGCAGCAGACACATGGTGAGGTGCTTGCTGGTGTGGATGCGAGTGCGGCATGGGCTAAGGCTTCATCAAGGAGTGGTGAGGCCGATTGGGAGACATGGCATGAGAGGCTGTGTCATGTGAACTTCCCTATGCTGCAGAAGTTGGTGAAGGATGGGAGCCTGAAGGGCTTGGAGGTGAAAGGGGGAGTGAGGGAGATTGGGAGCTGCCCTACATGCTTGGAGACCAAGTTCTCCAAGTTCCCCTTCAACAGCACAACAGGACCAGCCAAGACCCCACTTGCACTTGTGCACATGGATGTGGTGGGGCCCACAAGAGCCCCTTCCCTCTCAGGCAGCCGCTATTTCTTGACAATTGTGGATGACCACACTCGGGCAGTGTGGGTTTACCCTTTAAAGAGCAAGGGGGAGGTGGCAGCGGCTGTCCTTAAAGAGTGGATGCCTAGAGCTCAGAGAGAATGCAGACACAAGGTGAAGGTGATCAGTAGTGACAATGGTGGGGAGTTCATTGGAGCTGATTTTGAGGGGGAGTTGAAGAGGAAGGGGATCCAATATCAACTGACAGTGCCCTACAACCCGCAGCAGAATGGCGTGGCTAAGAGGTTCAACAGGACCCTACAGGAGGGGGCACGCACTCTCCTTGGGCGTGCAGGGCTGCCTGATCCAATTTGAGTGTCTGCACTGAGGCAGGTCGCTCTTGTGAAGAATAGGGTGCTAGCTACAGTTGGGGATAAGGAGTGGATCCCATATACCAAGTGGTATGGGAGTGCTCCAGCTGTGAACATGCTGAGGGCATTTGGGTGCATGGTGGTATTTTATGTGCCCAAGGAGAAAAGGGGGAAGTTGGAGGCTTCTGGAAGATGGGGTGTGCACTTGGGGATTGCAAAGGATCACAAGGGATGGCTGCTATGGGACTTGACCACCCAGAAGCTGACTGTGTCAAGGGATGTGAAGTTTCTTGAGTCCCTGAACTACAAGGAATGGAAGCAGCAGCAATAGAAGCTTCCATCTACACCGCTCATTGTGGAGGCAGATGAGGTGCAGCGGCCTTCAAGACAGCTGGAGGTTGCAGTGTCTGAGGAGGAGATGTCTGGGGTGACTGAGGAAGGGGGAGCAGCTGAAGTGGAGCAGCAGCAGCAGCAGCATGAGTCTCCACCTCGAGTTCCACACCCGCCTGAGCGACCTAGGAGGGATGTGCGTCCTCCGGTGAGGCTGATCTATGGGGGAAGAGGCAAGCCGAATGTGGTGCAGGCTGGGAGTGTGGTTGAGCAGATTGAGGAAGATGAGATCGCTCACTGCTACTGGGCACCAATCCCTGAGCCCAAGACTCGAGAGGAGGCCTTGAATGGACCAAATGGGGAGAAGTGGAAGGCGAGTGAGGATGAGGAGTTTGGGTCCCTGATTGAGAATGAGACATGGGACCTGTGTGACTTGCCTCCTGGGAAGAAGGCAATCACTTCCAAGATGATCTACAGGCACAAGTATGGACCTGAAGGGGAGCTGACCCGCTACAAGTCTACGCTTGTGGCACGGCGGTTTCAGCAGACAAAGGGGAAGGACTATGATGAGGTGTTTACTCCTGTGGGGAAAGGAACAACACTGAGGGTGCTGTTGGCGATAGCTGCACTCCTGGGATGGAAGATTCGGTAGATGGACATTGTGACTGCCTTTCTGAATGGGATCATTCTGGAGGAGGTGTACATGAAGCATCCAGAGGGGCTGGATGATGGGAGCGGCAGGGTCTGCAGGCTGAAGAAGGCCATCTATGGCCTTAAGCAGGCGCCTCGTGCATGGTATCACAAGCTGGAGGAGGCACTGTTGGCTGGGGGTTTCAAGAAGAGTGAGTGTGACCCCAGCCTGTTCCTGCTGCAGGAGAAGGATGAAATCCTCATGCTCTTGGCGTATGTGGATGATATCCTTCTGTTTTTTGCATCAACCACTTTGCTGAACAGCGCAGAGTAGATGCTGGAGATGCAGTTCAAGTGTTCCAAGATGGGTGAGGTGAAGTACTACTTGGGGATGCATGTGGAGACAGATGTGGAGAAGGGTGTGCTGAGGTTGCACCAGAGGAAGTACTGTGAGGGGCTGGCTGAGAAGTATGGGCTGCAAGATGGGGGAAAGCCAGCAACACCACTGCCTTTGGGGTTTACTGTGGAGCCATGTGCTGATGAGGAGGTAGTGGGTGAGAGTGACAGGAAGCTGTTTCATTCGATGGTTGGGTCGCTGAACTATGCTGCAAATCATACACGGCCTGACATTGCATTTGCTACATCACGGTTGGCTAGTGTTGTCTCACGCCCTAGTCATGAGCAACTGGAAGCGGCCAAGAGGTTGGTCCGCTATGTGAGCGCTACGGCATCATTGGGATTGGAGTACAGTGGAGTGAGGCAGCGATTGCAAAGTGGTTCTGCAGATGTGAAGAGTGGAGAGATGCTTTTGAGTTGCTATACTGACGCTAGCTTCAACTCAGTGAAAGCGGATGGCACCAGCATTGGGGGTTATGTGTGCTTGCTAGGAGGTGGTGCTATGAGCTGGCGCAGCAAGAAGCAGAATGAGGTGGGATTGTCCTCTTGTGAGACTGAGTACATGGCCTTACACCATGGGGTCAAGGAAGTGGTGTGGCTGAGGCGTTTGTTGGAGGAGTTGGGAGTTGGTCAAGAGGAGCCGACAGTTGTGTTTTGTGACAATGAGTCTGCTGTGAAGCTCGCCAAGAAACCTTGTCTGCATGGGCTGACAAAACACATAAGGCCTAAGTGGAATTGGGTGAGGAGACTCCTTGATAAGGAGGTGCGGCTGGAGATAGTGAAGACCCATCAGCAAGCAGCAGATATTTTCACTAAGCGTCTGGCGGAGGCGGATCATTGGAAGGGCATGAAGCTTGCTGGGATGAGTGTGCATTGAGTATGCATGCTTGAGATGTTGGTATGGTGGATGATGGTTGGCAGCCAGAGGGGGAGATTGTTGTATGATGTCATCATATGCTATCACATTCTGTCTGCCTCCCATCCCTTGTTTCAATTCGCATGTATGGTTTGACTGTGTGTGAAAGAATTTGTGTGGTGTGTGTTCTGGAGTTTGGGAATGTGTTTTGTGTTATTCTGTCTGAGCAGGTATTTGTGATGATAGATCTTGAGAAGATCTTTCCGACGCAACAAGAATCGCTTCAATCGGAGCAAGAACGCGAAAGCTATGAAGATTCAAAGTTCATGAGCTTGCGTTACAATTGCGGCAGTTACAAAGTGAAGTTGTGGGGTGACTCTATATGGAGTTGGGACCTTTGGGGTTGGGGAAATTTGTCACTCTACTGTAACAGCTGCAAATTGGTTGGGAACAACCAAGCTATGTTGGCAAGGGTGGCCAACTTGGATGGATTGGTTGGGAAGGGACAAATGTCAAAGTTGGGGTTCCTATAGGGGGGGAATCTTTGTGCTTATGGGGTTTCCTTGGTTGGGGACTCTCTTGGGACCTTCCCTCTCGTCCCTCTCTTCCCATCCCAACCTTTCTCTTGCTCCTCTAATTCCTTGTGAGATTCTTGAACTTTGATTGAACTTTTGAGATGAGTAAAGTTCTCCTCCTACACCTTACCCCCCAGTGCGTCGAAAGCCATAGCGTCGCAAATACTCCATCAATCGCCAAGATTCAAATTGCGAACGGTAGCTACAATTCCGATTTTCGCGACATTCCAACAGCTAGTGTTTCGTCGACGTCGTTTCTTGTGAAGACGACTTTTCTGTCCAAAATTTCCTATTTATATTTTGAGTAGTTCTAGCTCCTAAGCACACCTAGACTCCGTCCTTAATCATAACACGTTTCGCTTAGATTCGCTTTGCTTCGCTTTGCTTCGATTAGCTTTGCTTCGCTTCTCTTAGCTTCGGTTTGCTTCGCTTAGCTTCGTTCGCTTAGCTTCGCTTAACTTCCCTTAGCTTCGCTTCGCTTTGGTTCGCTTTACTTCGCTTCGCTTCTCTTAGCTTCGCTTAGCTTTGCTTCGCTTCGCTTCGCCTCCCTTAGCTTCGCTTAGCTTCGCTCCGCTTAGCTTCGCTTCGCTTTGCTTAGCTTCGTTCCGCTTCGCTTCGCTTTGCTTAGCTTGGCTTCGCTTCGCTTTGCTTCGGTTCGCTTTGCTTGGCTTAGCTTTGCTTCTGTTAGCTTTGCTTAGCTTCTCTTCACTTAGCTTCGCTTCGCTTAGCTTCGCTTCGCTTACCTTAGCTTCACTTCGCTTAGCTTCGCTTCTCTTCGCTTCTCTTTGCTTCGCTTAGCTTCGCTTTGCTTCTCTTAGATTCGCTTAGCTTCACTTAGCTTTTCTTCGCTTCGCTTCGCTTAGCTTCGCTTTGCTTCTCTTAGCTTCGCTTAGCTTCGCTTCGCTTCTCTTCGCTTTGCTTCGTTTAGCTAAGCATTGCTTAGCTTCGCTTTGCTTCGCTTCGCTTCGCTTCTCTTCGCTTCTCTTCGCTTCTCTTCGCTTCGCTTCGCTTCTCTTAGCTTCACTTCGCTTCCCTTAGCTTCGATTCGCTTCTCTTAGCTTCGCTTCGCTTCCCTTTGCTTCGCTTTGCATCGCTTTAGCTTCGCTTTGCTTTGCTTCGCTTCTCTTTGCTTCGCTTCGCTTCGCTTCGCTTCGGTTAGCTTCATTAGTTTCGCTTCGCATTGCTCAGCTTCGCTTCGCTTCGATTAGCTTCGCTTCGCTTCGCTTAGCTTCGCTTCGCTTCGATTAGCTTCGCTTAGCTACGCTTAGCTTCGCTTAGCTACACTTCGCTTCTCTTTGCTTTGCTTCGCTTAGCTTCGCTTAGCTTAGCCTCGCTTCGCTTAGCTTCGCTTCGCTTAGCTTAGCTTCGCTTCGCTTCTCTTCGCTTAGCTTCGATTCGCTTAGCTTCGCTTCGCTTCCCTTAGCTTCGCTTAGCTTCGCTTCGCTTCCCTTAGCTTAGCTTAGCTTCGCTTAGCTTCCCCTAGCTTCACTTCGCTTCTCTTAGCTTAGCTTCGCTTCGCTTAGCTTCGCTTACCTTTGCTTCGCTTCGCCTAGCTTCGCTTAGCTTTGCTTCGCTTCGCATTGCTTAGCTTCGCTTCGCTTAGCTTCGCTTCGCATCGCTCAGCTTCGCTTTGCTTCGATTAGATTAGCTTCGCTTCGCTTCGCTTTACTTTGCTTCGCTTCTCTTAGCTTCGCTTAGCTTTGCTTCGCTTCGATTAGCTTCGCTTTGCTTCGCTTACCTACGCTTAGCTTCGCTTAGCTTTGCTTCGCTTCGCTTTGCTTCATTTTGCTTAGATTCGCTTTGCTTCGCTTCGCTTCGCTTAGCTTTGCTTCGCTTCTCTTAGCTTCGGTTTGCTTCGCTTAGCTTCAATCTCTTAGCTTCGCTAAACTTCCCTTAGCTTCGCTTTACTTCGCTTCGCTTCTCTTAGCTTCGCTTAGCTTTGCTTCGCTTCCCTTAGCTTCGCTTAGCTTTGCTTAGCTTTGCTCCGCTTAGCTTGGCTTCGCTTCGCTTTGCTTCGCTTGGCTTAGCTTCGCTTCTGTTAGCTTCGCTTAGCTTCGCTTAGTTTTTCTTCGCTTAGCTTTGCTTCGCTTTGCTTAGCTTCGCTTTGCTTCCCTTTGCTTCACTTAGCTTCGCTTAGCTTCACTTAGCATTGCTTCGCTTCACTTAGCTTCGCTTTGCTTCACTTTGCATTGCTTCGCCTCGCTTCCCTTTGCCCCGCTTCGCTTCGCTTAGGTTTGCTTCCCTTCGCTTAGCTTCGTGGTTGCTTTGCTTAGCTTCGCTGCACTACGCTTCGCTTAGCTTCGCTTAGATTCGCTTAGCTTCACTTTTCTTTGCTTCGCTTTGCTTAGCTTCGTTTAGCTTCGCTTCGCTTCACTTTGCTTCGCTTAGTTTCACTTCGATTCGCTTAGCTTTGCTTAGCTTCACTTCGCTTTGCTTCGTTTCGCTTGGATTCGCTTTGCTTCGCTTAGCTTTGCTTTGCTTCTCTTAGCTTCGGTTAGCTTCGCTTAGCTTTGTTCGCTTAGCTTCGCTTAACTTCCCTTAGCTTCGCTTCACTTTGCTTCGCTTTGCTATACTTCGCTTCGCTTCTCTTAGCTTTGCTTAGCTTCGCTTAGCTTCGCTTAGCTTTGCTTAGCTTCGCTTAGCTTTGCTCCGCTTAGCTTCGCTTCGCTTTGCTTAGCTTCGCTTCGCTTCGCTTAGCTTCGCTTAGTTTCCCTTCGCTTTGATTAGCTTCACTTCCCTTCGCTTAGCTCCGTGTTCGCTTCGCTTAGCTTCGCTTCGCTTCGCTTCGATTAGCTTCATGTTTGCTTCGCTTAGCCTCGCTTCTCTTCGCTTAGCTTAGCTTCGGTTCGCTTCGCTTAGCTTCGCTTCGCATAGCTTCGCTTCACTTAGCTTCACTTCGCTTCGCTTCGCTTCCCTTAGCTTCGCTTCGCTTCGCTTTGCTTAGCTTCGCTTCGCTTCACTTTGCCCAACTTCGCTTCGCTTAGCTTCGCTTCCCTTCGCTTAGCTTCGTGATCGGTTTCCTTAGCTTCGCTTCACTTCGCTTCGCTTAGCTTTGCTTAGCTTCGCTTTGCCTAGCTTCGCTTCGCTTCGTTTTGCTTCGTGTCGCTTCGCTTCCCTTAGCATCGCTTCGCTTCGCTTAGCTTCGCTTCCCTTAGCTTCGCTTAGCTTCGCTTTGTTTCGCTTAGCTTCGCTTCGCTTAGGTTTGCTTTGCTTCGATTAGCTTTGCTTAGCTTTGCTTAGCTTCGCTTAGCTTCGCTTCGCTTTGCTTCTCTAAACTTCGCTTCGCTTCTCTTCGCTTCTCTTCACTTCGCTTCGCTTAACTTCTCTTAGCATCGCTTAGCTTTGCCTAGCTTCGCTTCGCTTTGCTTAGTTTCGCTTCGCTTTGCTTAGCTTCGCTTATCTTTGCTTTGCTTCGCTTAGCTTTGCAATGCTTCCCTTAGCTTCGCTTAGCTTCAATTCGCTTCGCTTCTCTTAGCTTCGCTTAGCTCCGCTTAGCTTCCCTTAGCTTCGCTTCGCTTCTCTTAGCTTTGCGTAGCTTCGCTTAGCTTCGCTTCGCTTCACTTGGCTTCGCTTAGCTTCGCTTAGCTTTGCTTTGCTTCTCTTATCTTTGCTTCGCTTCGCTTCGCTCCTCTTCCCTTCTCTTCGCTTCGCTTCGCTTAGCTTCGCTTCGCTTCGATTCCCTTAGCTTTGCTTAGCTTCGCTTAGCTTCGCTTCGCTTTGCTTAGCTTCGTGTTCGCTTCGCTTAGCTTTGCTTTGCTTCGCTTCGATAAGCTTCTCTTCGCTTCACTTAGCTTCGCTTTGCTTCTCTTAGCTTCGCTTAGCTTCGCTTCGCTTCAGTTAGCTTCGCTTAGCTTCGATTCGCTTCGCTTCCCTTAGCTTCGCTTTGATTCGCTTAGCTATGCTTAGCTTTGCTTCGCTTTGCTTCGCTTCGCTTAGCTTCGCTTCGCTTCGCTTCGCTTCGCTTAGCTTTGCTTCTCTTAGCTTTGCTTAGCTTCACTTTGCTTCGCTTCGCTTAGCTTCGCTACGCCTCCCGTAGGTTTGCTTCCCTTCGCTTAGCTTCGCTTACCTTCGCTTAGCTTCGCTTAGCTTCGCTTCGCTTTGCTTAGCTTCGCTTCGCTTCGCTTGGCTTAGCTTTGCTCCGCTTAGCTTTGCTTCGCTTTGCTTAGCTTTGCTTCGCTTAGCTTCGCTACGCCTCCCTTATCTTTGCTTCCCTTCGCTTAGCTTTGCTTCGATTCGTTTAGCTTCGCTTTGCTTCGCTTAGCTTCGCTTAGCATTGCTTCGCTTCGCTTAGCTTCCCTTAGCTTCGCTTTGCTTAGCTTCCCTTAACTTCCCTTCGCTTCGCTTAGCTTTGCTTCGATTCGCTTAGCTTCGCTTCGCTTAGCTTTGCTAAGCTTCTCTTAGCTTCGCTTCGCTTCGATTAGCTTCGCTTCGATTAGCTTCGTGTTCGATTCGCTTAGCTTCTCTTCTCTTTGCTTCGCTTAGCTTTGCTTCACTTCGCTTAGCTTCGCCTCGCTTGCCTTAGATTCGCTTCACTTTGCTTAGCTTCGCTTCGCTTAGGTTCGCTTTGCTTCGCTTAGCTTTGCTTCGCTTCGCTTAGCTTTGCTTCACGTTGCTTTGGTTAGCTTCGCTTCGCTTTGTGTTCGCTTCGCTTCTCTTTGCCGCGCTTCGCTTAGCTTCGCTTCGCTTATCTTTGCTTCGCTTAGCTTCGCTTCGCTTTGCTTAGCTTCGCTTAGCTTCGCTTAGCTTTGCTTCGCTTTGCTTAGCTTCGCTTCGCTTTGCTTAGCTTCGCTTCAATTAGCTTCGCTTCAATTAGCTTCGCTTCACTTCGCTTAGCTTCGTGTTCGCTTCGCT